CACATGCCTGTGGGTACACAGTCACGTGGATCCAAAACACAGCAGCAGGCCACATGTTTGCAGGGTCAGCGGCAGAGTTCCAGCAAGCAGGAAGGCAAAGTCACAGAGAGAGCTCATCCCTGTTCATCTTCCTCTTATACAAAAGGCTTACGATATCAAACAGGTGTCGTCAGACTGGGACTTGAGGTTTGATTCCACCCCTGGCCAGGAGTGTCTGGTTGACAAAAGTGCAACTACCACAGGACCTAACCAGTTAGTGTTCTTTCCATGCAGGGCCAGTTGGAGGTCCTCAGGTCTCAGGGCGGGACACTGGACTTGCCTGCCCTCCATGAGCAGGCCACCGATCCCCCCACCTTAGTCAAACACATAGGAATGAAGAGAAGCAAAGCAGGGCCTGAGACCTGCTGGCGGGTGTCCCAGACCCGACAGACGGCCGTGGAGGTAGTGCTGTGGAGCAGCAGAGGGACCTTTCTCCCAGGTGCTGCACTGGGACGCTTCACAGCCAGCCAGGCACCGGGGTCAGGAGTGCAGACGGCACTTAAGGGTGAGAATGGGGTAGACCACCAACTGCATACTTTGTGGACTGTTTAACAAGGCAAGCAAGGACCCCATTTCCAGAAAGACGTGATTTCAATCTGATTGGAGGGCTGGCGGGGCTTCTCCCTCCTTCCTCCTTTTATAATTGTGCTAAATGGTTAGACTTTTAAGAGGATGGTTTACTTCTGCACTGTCCACGTTCTCTTATTTTAATTGTTTTCATTTCTTCTCTTCTTTCTAACTTTGTGCATTCTAAATAGCTCAGCCAGGGGGCATTTCCCCATGATATAATTAGTAGTGGCTGTACTTACATGTAGGTTCTTAATATAATCCCAGATGGAATGTATTTTCACTTAAGTTACATTTTATTAGATAGCTGGGTTTCCCCAAAAGGAGTGCAAGGAGCTCTATAGAAGGGGGGTGTCTTTGATGAACAAAGATGGCTTAGGAGGGGACAGAGGGCAAATCAGAGCAGCTTCCCGAGAACAAAGTCTGGATCTGAGACTCAGCCTTCCCACAGCATACCTGAGAGGTAGCCCTATGCACACTGCTGATTGCCGAGGCAGGGAGTGGACATCTATGGGTGGGCCTCTCTGTCGCTTTCACTGTAGAACCCTAGACCAGCAGGCCCAGGGCAGTGTCCATGAGAGGGAATCAACGCAGGAGGCTTTGAGCTGTCCCCACCTTGGGTGTAAGAACAGCATCCCACTTGCTGAGGGGCAGGCACAACATCCTGGAAAATGCCAGCTCTGGGATGGGAGGGAAAGGAGTGTACTGGGGCGTGGGGGGATGTTTGGAGGGCATGTGGCTGGTAACTCTAGCTCCAGACCCTGAGCTGAGTGCCCACAGAGCCTTGGCACATGCCAGTCAATGCAGAGCCAAACAGCCCGCAGACGTCTGAGCTTGAGTTTGCAGTGACAAGAAACTCTGGATGATTGTGGAGTCTCCCGTGAGGAGCCAATCTGTTGAGCTGCCTTCCCAGCTCTGGGACTGATGGGAAGTCTCCCAGAAAAGGTGTGAGTGAGCTCAGGCTGGCTAGCAGCTTGAAAAGCTGGAGTGGATCATATTGACCTTGAGGAACAAGGAGAAGGTGGTACTGAATGATGAGCCTGAGAACATCTATGCACAAAGATGTGAGACCTGGTGGGGACCAGGCCAAGGGGTTTTGAAGGTGGAGTCAAGGAGGGGCAGGCACAGGCTGACATAACACCACCAAGACAGGTCGTGGGCCCTCTGGCACTTCCTGGGCTCCATAAGGCGGGCCAGGCTATGAAAGAGCAACACTGTCCTCCAAGGATTCCCATCGGCAAGGCTTCTGCTGCTAAATCTGAGCTGCCATCATTATAATTGAAGGGTTTGCGAGGACCTCACAGTGCATGTTTGGAGGCAGCCTTTCCTCGGGCACACTGTTTAGCTCAATCTTCTCTTCAGGTACAGCGAAGTTCTACATCTGCAAACCAACTTATATAGATGAAACTGTGGCTTAAAACACAAGACTGTAGGGCTGGATGATGGGACTCTGGGCACATCCCCTCCACCCTACTTCCTTGGAGAAGAGGACCTTGAGGTAAGGGAAAGACAAAAAACAGCTTGCCCCGGGGCCAAGAGTTAATCAGGACAGGAGGGAAAGCTCCACCTGGACATCTCACACCACAGAGCAGTCCAAATACAGAGGAATCCGGTTCTCATAGCTACCGTGTTCTGAGAAATGGAGAGGATCAGTTACAAAAGGCATCAACAGCTGTGTGTGAGCAGTCTCTTCCAGGCCAGGCTACAACATCGACTTTCATGGCACAATCCAGTTATTACAGCATCACAGGGACTGCCAGGCTCTCATTTTCCTAGGTTAACATGGAGCATCCGCTGGGCAAAATTTCCCAGGCCTGCCGCTATCCCCTGACAGCCGTCAAGCACACTGTTAATGGAAAGGGAAGTCAGTACAATGCTATTCATAGGCAACTGGGAAGCTGCTACCAATGTGTTAAATGCGCAAGCCCTTTGAATCAATGAATCCCCCTGCTCCGGTCTTGCCCCGTGAATGCACTCACCAATACATATAATAAGGATGCTCACAGCAGCAGCAGAGCTGAGACCCAATTATGACTGAAAATGCAGGAGAGAGTGAGCTTTAAAAGGGCTTTGTTTGGAAAATCAAAACAACACCAACTACTAAAATATTTTCAGGGAGGGAGTTTAGCTGAGTAAGTGATGATGAAAGCACATGACAGCTCGATGCTGAAGAAGGAGGGGTAAGGGAAGAAGGAAGACCTCTGAAGGACAGTGACGGGAAGCGCATCGGCAGAGCCATGGACAGCCAGAAGAACCAACGGATCTGTCTTGAAGGAAGTACAGCCAAAAGGATCCTTAGAAACAAGACTTCATCTCAGGTAATTTGGCCTGTTATCAAAACATGCTAGGCCCTGGAGAAGGACATCATGCTTGATAAAGGATCGGGGAGGGAGTGCGGAAGAGAGGAAGACTCTCAAGGGTGGACATAGTGGCTGCAACAATGGGGCTCAAGCATGACAACGACTGTGAGGATGGTGGGGTTTCGCTCTGTCATACTTGGGGTCACTACAAGTCCACAGGGTCCCGATGAGCCAGAGCTGCCTAGGCAGTACAATAGCATAAGCATATGGCAGACTATTATACATGGGATAAAAAACGGTAAGATAGATCCGTATGTACTGATTAAAAAAAGATCTTCTCCATAAGAATACTAAGGCGGGGAGGAGGGGGAAGCAAAGCATAGGCCGTGCGCACCTGCAGAGGCACACACAAACTAGGTGCGTGTAACTAGGTACATACTGAACTGCCAGTTCTATGCCTCCCGCCTCCATGTGCACATTCAAGCGTGTGTGTGTGTGTGTGTGTGTGTGTGTGTGTGTGTGTACTGTCACTGGCTCGCGTCCTCACATCACTCTAGAGATCATGACTTGCCACCTAATGCAGGTCCTTCTTGTGCCACCAAGTAACAAGCGATAAGATAGGGGAAAAAAAGGGGGGGGGGACCCAGTCACTGTTTTAAATGTTCTTAATGTAATCCAAAATAATGGAGTTGGAGAGCTACAACCCAGGCTGTCTTTGAAATAAGCTGGAAAAGCAGGAGCTGGCCTTCGCTCTTTGCTGTTACCGCTTGTCAGTCCAGAAACAGACATAAGTGAGTGATGGCCCCTTGCTGCAGATGGCAAAAACACCTTCCCAAAATTCAGAGGTATGATGGCCGAGGCAGGAAATCCCCTGCCCTTCTCCTACTCCCTGAGACACACCGGTCAGCCTCCCCCTCCTCTGCCTCTAGGGCCCCCGGGCAGGTCACTCCCACTGTCCTCTAGTACCCCTGGATGTCAGCCCCCCAGGGACCCCCTTCAGACACCATGACCCAGTGTGTTCCTCACGCTACATGCTTCCCTGGAATGGCACTCATTCCAGTTTCCAGTTCACAGGGATGCTAACACTCCTGGGCGCCTGGACAGTGTCGGCACCTACTTTTCCCTCGCTGCAGACGCCCAGCTCCTATCAGCAGAGGGTGTCATCGAGTCATCAACATGTGATGAAGGACAGTGAGTGAGTGACTGCAGGTCACTCTTCATGTTAAAACAGTCAGTGGCTGATGACACTCTCTGGCTTGAACCACCGTGTCCAAGGCCCTGTATGACTTACGAGGCCCTGTTCCTCTCCGGTCTCTTCTCCCATACCAGCCCGCTGCAGCCACACTCTACACCCCTGCTGATCCCTGAATCAACTCCTGGGGACCTATCTTGTTCCGCGCTGATGTTGATCCTGCTGTGCAGGAAGCCATGTCCCTGACCATGTCATTTGCCACTTCATTCACAACTCAGAGCAGATGTCACTAATTTAGAGAGAGAGCACTCTCAGGGGACCAGCCTGTGTCATTCCACAGCCCCTTCTCTGCATAACTTTCCTCCACAGAACTCCCCACGGCCTAACAGCCTATGTAACACTAACTCAATCACACTTTTACAATCTCCCGCTCCGACCCAGGAGGTAAGGCCCATGAGGGCAGGGCAAGGATCTTGTTTTGTATGATGTGATGTCCTTAATTGCATGAGTATTGCAAACCCTCAACAAGTGTTTGTTGAGTGAATTCACATGTGATAACATACACAGGCATATCAACATAGACATATGCAGAGCGAAAAATGGCTAAGTATAAAACATAATAATCCCCTAGACATTCATAGGCACTACGTACACTTTGGTTTTCCTTAACAGCTGATGTAATGGGTAAACGGTCTCACACCTTTGAGCAACAGAAGCATTGAGAGTGAGCCAGTGAGCTAGTGCTCATTTTTTCCTTTGAAAGTAAACAAAGCAAATGTGGCTTTAAAAATGCAGAAAACAGTATTCCAAGAGCAATAAACTTTACACACCATACTAAACTCACCATGTGTTTATCCTAATGCATATATTTGACAACTGAAAAAAAAAGGTTGTGTGCTTACCCATTCTTCTAGAATGCGTGACACTGCATCCTTGGCTCTTGCCACGTTCCTACAGGCCAGGATCACGTGTGCACCATGGAGGGCAAAAGACTTGGCGGTTTCAAATCCTGTGGTTTACGGGAAAAGTCAACATTAGAAACACAACATCAAACAGTGAGTTATAAGGAATGGACTTTAGAGGCCACATGCCTTGCCCTAGGGCAGTGATTCTCAACCAGGGGCAATCTTGCCCCCTACACAACACTTGGCAATGTCTGGAAATATTTTCAATGGTCACAGTTTGGTGCAGGGTGCTACTGGCATCTAGTGGATAAAGGCTAGGCATGTTACTAAACATTTTACAATGTCCAAAGCAGTCCACCACAACACAGAGTGATCTTGCCCAGAATGTTAACAGTGCCAAAGTAGAGAAGCCCAGCTCTAGGGACACACTGGTTTCAAAGATGAAGGTCAAGCCATAAAAGCACTCAAAGCAGTCAGTAATTTAACGATTAGCAAAGACCAGATCTTGAGCTACAGGTGGGAGGCAAGGCTACATCAAGAACTAGTGTCCCTCAAAGAATTAGTGGCCTTATAAGAGAAAGTATACTTGGAAAGTAAAACAAACAAGCAGCATTTATGGAGCACTTGGCAACGTGTCCTGACAGAAAGAGGGAGCAGAAAACACAGAGACAAATCGATGGAGGGGAGAAGAGGGTGGGAGTGGGGAATGCTGGTGTCAGAGACAGAAAACAACAGTACAAGTGACCAATATCAGGAATGAATAAAAGGACTTCACTACGGATCCCACAAACACTACAAATTCTTCAGAAACTATGTTGAACAACACAATGGTACCAATAGATTTAAAATATATAAGGGTGCTTCAAAATGTTCTTGGAAAAAGTCCATGACCTTTTCATTCCATTTTTCCACAAACTTTTTGAATACATTAAAGAAGACAAAATGCTAGAAAAGACAATCCTTTGAAACACTCACCGGAAACAAGCCAAAAAACATCTGAAAAACTGAAAAGTTCTGTATATTAACAGAAAAGGATTCATTGTTCCCAAAAATAAAATTCTGATCCCCTATATCAATAGAGAAATGTATCAAGCTTTTAAGAATTAAAAAAAAAATCACCAAATATAGAAACATGCTTTGAAATTATAGAAAAAGGTATTTATCATTTATTTAATAAATTTCAACTTCATTAATCAGTACAAAGTGAAAATTAAAGAAATGATAAGAAACTACTACACACCCACTACTACAATACTTAAAATTAAAAAAAAATTTTTTAACTCAACCATACCAAATGCTGAAGAGGGTGTGAAACAACTGGAACTCTTGAACATTATTGACTAAAAAACAAAACTATCTAATTCTAGGCCTTAAGCTGCAAACCTGCTCTATAGTTTATAATACCACATTTTATGATCTCTGAGAGAAGACCACGAGACCATATTGCAACAGCAAAGGAATCAATTCTACTAGAGAAAACAGCAATGTAAATTTAGCCAACTCAAGGTCAAATGGCAATGTTATTGTGTCCAAGACATTAACATTTATGAAAAACTAGGGTATCATTATCTTACAGAGATCAGCATGTAAAAGAGTCTATTGAAGTTCATTCATTCATATCACTTCCACTTAGCTAATCTTCATGGAAGCTGGGCTATTTATACACAATGGCTCTCAAGGAAAGCCAGCATGGCATAGTGGGAAACACTCAGGAATTCAGGACACTAATATTGATCTCAGCTCTAACCATTGACACGTTGTGGGACCTATGGCTATGCTTTCAACCCCCCTGAAACCCAACTGTCTTTTTTTGTAAAATGAGGAGCGGATGGTGTACACACATTTGGAGTAGTTAGAAAATAAATGCTAGTTCCCTACTCTTTTAAAACTCCTTTGTATAAATCTTATGCCTTCTTTGACTTGAATGACCTACCAAATAAGAGGGGACATCAGAAAATTCATAGAAAAAAATTGAATTAAAAGATCACAAAGCTTTCCCACAAACTTTTAGAAGCCCCTCGTACAGTATAATCATTATGGCTAAAAAAATTAAAACTCTTCTAGATCTGCTCCCAACAGAAAGTCTCAGCAGCTGAATGGCTTTAGCATCAACCAGGATTCAAAGAAATTCATCTACAGGATCCAGCATGTCATCTGCCTGAACTTGAACTTCGTTGTTGAGACAACCAGTTATTTTCTGAGATCATGCCAAATCACATACTCCTAGATATTCAATTATCAGTTCCCTGTAATAATATACAAAGGGTCTCAAAGGTAAAATCTGAGATAACTTTAAAAGTTCATATAAAAGAGAATGAAAAGATAGTGGGATTCTTCCATGAATTTTTGAAGGTCCATCGTATTTAGTATCTAAATCCATTTACCTCCTCTTTGGTGCATATAATGAAAAGTGCTTGAAGTAAAATCTTCTAGCCATGAAGCAAGAAGCAAAAACCTGAAATTTATGCATTTTAGCCATGATGCCAACTTCCCCTCTTATCACCAGTGAGCAAAAGGCACTGGAATCATTTGGGAGAGAGCGAAGTCAAGCACCGAGTTTGGTAGTCCAGCTGTTATCACAGTGCATGGAAGAAGGCACAAGAGGAAATCTCGCTGACTGATACAGGACAGCAGGCTGATGAAATGCTGAGAGCCACGGGGAGGTAACTCCAAGTGGCCAAAACACCTTCACACTTTCACTTTCAGGACTCTGCACATTCAGAAGATTTGGGGGAGAACAGTGTCCCTTGGAAATGTCCAGGTGAAGCAAGGGTTAGAAATACTTTCCATCACATTTTTCATGAGAGGCCATTACAGCGGAAAAAGGATTCAGGGATGTGGGGAAAGACGGCGGAGGCAATCCCAGGTGGGTTTTAACAGCCATATTTTCTCTAATACCCATCATACTAATAAATAAATACTACAAAGATGCCATTCCCTGTGCTTCTGAAGGACACTGCCTACCAATGGGGGGCAGAGGACAAAAGTATGTCCTTTTTCTATCAAATTTTATCTCCCCAAACAAATGTGGTAAGTCTTGCAATTACCAAAAAGAGAGACATCTGAAGTGGCAGTATACACAAGCTTGCACCCTCTCCCCTGCTGTAGTTACAGTTGAGACTACATCTTGTGAAACCACACCCCAGGTCTATAATAGTTGGGTTTTGTGCTAACTGGGCTAGGTCAGGATTCTCTGGTTTGGCAGTTAAACCACAGTTATACCCCATGATATGAGATAACACAACATTACCGTGAAGTGCTGGATTGATCCACAGGGCAGATACTATTAGGCTAAGGTGACCAGACGTCCCGCTTTTGGTGGGACATCCCAATTTTTGCATTTTTAAAAAGTCCCGATTTTTGGAAAGAATGCACAACAAGCTAGGGAATGGTCTATTTGGTCCATATAGACCAAATTTTTAATCAAGAACCACACCACCACCACCACCACCACCCTGTTCAATGGTGTCTAGCTTTAAATCTGGTCACCTTATATCTTAAATCTGGTCACTTTGCTCACTGCAAAGATAAACTGAGGGCAGGCCAGAGAGAAGGAAAAGGAGAAGTTTATTCTACACTCCCAGGAGAGATTCACGGGCTCCAGCAAAGAAGTCAGTGAAGTCGTGCTGCCCAGGAGGGAGGGGAGAGCAGAGAAAGAGACAGGAGCCCTGAGCTCCTGGGAGAGGTCCATGGGCCCCGAGCTGGGGGCCTAAAAAGTAGTGCTTTTCTGCAGTGGAGAGCAAGTTTTTAAGCTGGTCCAGAACGTTAGCAAGGAGGGAGGGGGCAGGAGCTGCAACTGCAGCTGCAGGGACTTAAGCCATTTTTCTCCCTCCATTAAATTCTAAGGTAGAGTGGTGTCTTGATCATTCCGCCTGGTACCAAGGAGATGGCTCATTGTCCTGGAGCTCTTTAGAAGCTAATCTTCTCAGTCTGATAGGGGCAGGGCAGGCTGTTCCTAATGCCCTCCTTCTCCCCCCCCTGCCCCCCACCCATTGCCTGACCCAACATTCTGACCTTTTTTTAATGATAATGGGGCAAAGCTACTCTGTCTGCTTCCTGCTGGACAGGGGCAGCAAAGAATTAAAGGCCAGAGTGCACTGGGTCAGGTTCTGTAGGCAGGAGGGTGTAAGGGTGTAAAAGAAGCTGGTTGACAGTTAAGTTGGTCATGTACCTTATCCTGTTCTGAAGAAATTTGAAAAGATGGGGTTATTAGTAACAGGAAACATATAACCACAAGTGGCCCAATTAAAGGAAGGATCCAGGTTAAAAGGGGGGTTGGGAACCAAGAGAGTAGTGAGGCATTGTCTCCCCTACAATTTTATGATCTTCAGCCAATTTGGTGAGGGTCTCTATTTTTTGTTCTACCAGCCCTGATTCCTTACCATAATAACAGCACTCTTCCCTTATGAACAGGCAGTTACTGCCCTTTTCTGCAGTTAGGAGAGCTAAGGCCCTTCGGTCCTAGAGGATTACCTGCGCTAGGGAAATGAGTTGTCACTGTAGGGAGACTAGAGAGACCGAGGTGGGTTCCACAGCCAGCTGGAACTTCTCCTCAAAGTGCTGTGGCAGGATCATGCTATGGCCTAAAGGCCCTCTGGTGAAACCTGATGCCATGACTGAAAAGGCTAAGCTAAGACCCACCAATATGGGCACAAAGGCAGCCCTTTTTTGTTGGGAGACCATGGCTGGATTAAGCGAGGGGGACTGGCGCAGGCCTAAATCAAGATTTTCAAGAACAAGCAAATGGATTTCCTGCATCTTGCCCAGAGGGAGTAAGGAGAGGAAACGATGAGACAATAAGTTCTGGAGCCTGTGGGGAGAGAGTGTCTGAAGGGGCTGTCCCAAAGTGATTTTAAGGGCTTCTTTGGTAAGGGTGGCTGTAGCCGCCAGGACACAGAAACATGGCTGCCACCCCCAGACTCTACTGGAGAGTAGGTGGGTCCCAAAGGCTGGTGAGGACTCCGATTGCCATGCCCTACTTCTCATTAGTGAAAAGAAGAAAGGGTTATCAGGGTTTGGTAAACACAGTGGTAGGGATTGTAAAAGCGTTTCCTGGAGCTTTTCAAAGGCCTCCACCAGTGGGGAGTCCAAAGGCCTGCTGGGA